TAACTGTGATTCCATGCAAGTCGAACTCAGTCGCCATCATGCGGCGCCGCTTCACAATTGTAAGTTTCAAGCTGTTTCATATACAATTCCAGAAAAATGCGTAATTATTTTGAAAGCCTTGCTGCGGGAAAAATAACTCTACTTTAACGGTGAACAGCTAGACAAAAAGCGCGAGTAACAGAAAATAAAACGCCGTCTTCCGCTCAGATAGCTGCCAACGTAATATAAAATCCTGAACTGCGTTTTTGCGGATTCTCTGTTCTTGGCAATGCAAATGTTTTTTCTTTTAATCCGCCAAAACCTTCGTCCAGCCTCGTCTGAATCCATTTTTGAAATTTCTTTGATGTAGCCCATAGATCTAATTTCTCAACTGACAGATTTTAGGCGTTAAGAAAATCTTTCTTTGCGCATCCATTGACCGTAAATATGGATAGAGCGATTGGTGGAAGCGGCATAACAATCTATTTATTAACAAAAGAGTCGAAGCAAACCTATATAACAAAAGGGAGGTTCAGTGCAAATCTGCTGCGTCAAGAGATTGGCTTGTCTGTACATGAAGCACAATGCTAGTACTGATGATTCATCAAACATAAAGCACAGAATGACCCGGCGACTTTATGGCGCTATTTTCAAATCTGTCAAAGATACATATCAGAAAAAAAACTTTAGTGATATTCGACTGAAAGATGGATCAGATTATCGCCAAAGCAGAAAAAACCATCTCTCGAAAAACTCTTTACAAATTTGCGAGAGAAAAAACTAAAAAATCGAAACTGTTCACAACTTACGCAATATTGTGTAATTAATAATATAATTAACAATAATACTGTGTAATCTTAGGAGTTAGTCTCGCTTAAAATAAGCTGAAACAAACTCTTGGTTAAAATACAAATGCAGCGAGCCTCACAGCTTGAAACAAGTTGAAGAAATATTATGGTGAAAGTACTCCGCAGAACAACAAACAGTGGCCCCTGAAACTTCGACATAAAACGTAGTGCCCAAGAACGATTAACTCTAAATCTAGGAAAAAGCCGCATTAGGGTGCGTAAAACCGAACAATAGGAATAAATACAAAAAGATACCGTTCTAAAAACATCAAGAGTGTCTTGCAGACAAATAGCAACGAGAATAGCAGCAGTAAAATATTTTTCGAAAGGTACTCCTCAGCTATGAAGTATATGCAAAAACGCACTTGACGACAAAACCAATGGAATAGACAACGCTGTGTGAACTATGCTACACTAAATTTAGCAGGTTTTTAGCGAACATGAAAAGAACAAAATATATCCATTTTTCAAAATCTTACCATTTATGAAAATGAACCAGTGAACAGCAAGGAATGGAGCCGAACCCTGAGGAACCAAATCGATTCTGTCATGTCATAAGGACCAAAAGACCAGACTATCTTCATAGCAACAATGAAAACGTCAACCCAAATAATGAATGCCATCACCGCGTCGTGTCGCATCAAGATGAAGTGAGGTACCTTCACACAGGGTCTTTAAAGCCAATTCGATACACTACAAGCGGAAAACTTTCAAGAAAGAAAGAACGAAGAAATTGACGGCTGCTCGTTGAACATCACGTTCCGATGACAAGAAATGATTCAAAGCGGCATCCTTCAGAAAGCCGAAACCGTAACAGCATATATTTTCACCGACGAGAAGACGAACGAACACTAAAGTTCAGTCAAAAAAAATTTTTAAGGCAAATTTTCCAACCTCAGGAAGTACAGGACCAGAAACGTGACTATACTTTATTCAGAAAAGGCCGATGATGCACGTAAATGGGACTGAAATGGAATCGATACACAGCAACGAAAAACCTAGCCATAAATAACATTCGATCAACAAGTAAAGCAGGCTGCATCCGACACATTATTCACCTCACTCATGTACGAAATTTACATAACATCTTCCCGAAATAGTAGCAGTAATTTGCGAGAAAGTGCGTGTGCATCGACAACAGTTCCTCCTGGAATTCTAGTCAATGATGGCTAAATCCACTGTTATCGGCCGACCCTCGATGAGCATTCCGTTGATCGCTACTAAAAGGCAAAATTAAATCGAAGACAGAAAAGTCGTAACGCCACGTGTCACACTATAAAAGACCGCACTAAGAACGTTCCGATAAGGCGACAAAAACCTAACAGTGGAGAAGAAATAACTAACCAGCAGCTTTCTCGGCATCCATGGACGTCCTGAAACGAACTTTGCCCACTCGGGGTTGAACGATATCAGCAAATTCTATATCTCCGAAACCTCTCAACCGGTCGCGCAGTGTCTGCCATGTATAGTTTGCAGGCAGCTACAAATGCATACAATGAAATGATTCATATTCTGAATAACAGAATCGCAGAAAGTTTCACTCAAGAAGGTGAATGCCGTTGGACAGAGCAAACAGGATTTAAATGCGTTAAATAAATTTACCGTTGAGAGTGGAAGTTTTGAATTTTATAACAGAGCGAACAGAAAACAAAATATTAAGTGACTAAGCACATGAACCAAAATAGTGCGAGTTGTTATCCAAAAGCACATATTCATCAACTGCTGCAAAAAGACAATCAGTAACATGCGCGAGAACGGAGTATTTTGTCGAGCGCTTGGTACTGCAAAGCAACATAAAACGGCTTTATTATATACAGCTGTTGGATATTTAGTTATAAACCATAAAAGTTTGGTCTCTATCAGTCGAACGGGCAATCTCCAGGGCAAAATGGTTGATGTTCCGCGATTCTGCTGATCTGCAACAACTGCAAAATTTCAAATGGTAAGGACTGTTTTCGGTCCACGCTACCGCTTTTATACTTTTTTGCAACAGGCACGACGAGGCTCATCCAATCTAAGCACAGTTCAATTCCTTTTTTATGGTTTACGTTCCGCGGGGCTGGGTGAATAATATCAATTTGGCATTCCCGTTTAAACAGTTCCTTTTGAAAATGTAGCAAAAGCGTTCTAACCACTGGAGAAACTGTAGTTACTGCATGTTCGGCCTAGACGTGAAACCTCGACCAGTTCAGATGTCAAAAAATCTGATCGCCATGCAAGGAGAAAATGTCTTCATGATTAAAGTTCATCAAAACCGCCTGGCATGTCAAGCACATGCTGATCATGCAGCCTCAATACGTTACCTGCAACAAACTGTACGAAGTCTGCGCGGAGTGAATAAATCTCATCACGCCTGTCACCAAAAAACTTTACTATTAAACTTAAACCAGCAGCATTGTCTAAAAGCTTATCTTGCGTCTCAAACTCTATGAGATGTTGAGAATGATAACACCAGCAAGCTATAAATGTGTCACTTGCTCTGAAACAGGTATTCAAGATAGGACCAACAAACCGTAATTAGTGGTTTACCATTCGACGCACCAATAATTTGATTTGAGCAAAATAATGCCGTTTTTTGCTCATTCAACGTATTTATGTTTGAGTCATCCTAATCGAACGACACGGAAACACCCCACCTTCATCGTTAACTAATACTAGCAAAGCCTGGAGAACAAAGTTGCCCAGACTAAGCATGTCAGGTTGGTCTCAACTGACGTCTTGAAATTATTTCATGTACAGATTACTGCTACCTAAGAACCATCCTCCTGTCCAGGTCAGAGGGAACGAAGGATAAACGTAAAGGACTGTTCGGCAGTGTTAAGTACGGCGGGGCATGTTCCCCTTTAGACG